GACATCACTACCTATTTAGTTTTCCTGTGAGCCTGGTACTATAAACAATAATGCCTGTCGATCGTACGCCGCCTAAGACGCTAGCGCACTCTGATCACTCTGCATCCGACCCAAATATTTGCACAAAGATTGATGAGCCAGAACCTTGTACTATAACCAGCCGAATTAAAAGGAAAAGGGAAGAGAGTATAAAACAATCAGAATTTATTGAATTTAAAAGGGAATTCATAAAAATGTTATCTGAATTTAAAGAAGAACAACGGTTATACCTTGCATCTATTAGTTCAAGCATCGACGAAATCAAATCACAAAACAATAAATTACAGGAGTCCGTGGAGTTCATGTCTGAAAAATACGATGAGGTGATACAAAAAATTTGCCATCTTGAGGAGGAGAGAAAAGAAGATCGGAAGTATATACAACTTCTAGAAGAAAAGGTAGAACACTTGGAACGCCAGTCCCGATCAACCAGTATAGAAGTAAGAAATATACCAAAACAGGCATCTGAAAATAAACAAGATTTGACTGGTATTATTATTAATTTAGGTAAAGCCATTAATGTCCAATTTCAGCCATCAGAAATCAAGGATGTATTTCGAGTCAATTCCAAGACAACCAATAAACCAATAATTGCAGAGTTTACAAATGCCATAATAAAAGATAAATTCCAAAAATCAATAAAAACTTTCAACAAGAATAACAAAGATAAGCTAAGTACCAATCATTTAAATCTAAGCGGTCCAAAAACTCCTGTCTACATATCGGAAAGTCTCACATCCAAGACTAAGCGTTTATTCTTCCTGGCAAGAGAATTTGCTTCGACATACGGTTATAAATACTGTTGGACTTCATACGGTAAAATATTATTGCGTAAAGAAGAAGGTTCTACGCTAATAAGAATTAATAGTGAAAGTGATATAAACAAACTTAAAAGTAAAAAATGACTATCTATTTGGTTAAAAATTATTATTATTTTGGTATTTTTCTTTAAGCATGTATTCTATAATATGTCTTTTCTTTGTAATTTTTACTGTTATGTCTCTTTTATTTTATATAATTTTAATCAAAACACAAAAAAATTTGCCTGTAACACACTACATACAAACACAATCAGTATAAACATACTATTACCAATTAATTCAGTACTCAACATCGAATGTTCAAAAAAATTGTTCAAGTATTTCTATCATTGCACTGCATTATCATCTAAAATTGAGTATAGACTAAAAACAACGGATGAGTATCTATACTGTCTTACAAATTGCAACAAAATATGTAAGTTGTTTTCATCGTACCCCCAAATCTGGTCATATATATATTTTTTTTCTTTAAGTAAAAACGACAGAAATAAATAATATGTTTATTAACGATGAACTAGAAAGCCTGTTAAAACCTTCATGTTTTAAGATAGAAGACCCTGCTAAGTGTTGCACCATTCTAAATTTAAATAGTAAAGATCCCTTAAGTATATTAACAGTAAATATCCGAAGTGTTAATCGGAATATTGACAACCTGCTTATTTTCATTACGAGATTACAGGTAAGACTTGATGTCATTGTGCTTACTGAGTGCTGGATAGATGAGGACAGAGAAGTACCCTCAATTTCAAACTATAATACATTCCGTACTGAAAAATCGATAAACCAAAATGATGGTGTAATTGCTTATGTCAAACGACAGATTATTGTAAATGCCTACGAACCTACCCCGAGTGATGGAAATTTTTTGATCTTAAGCCTTGGTACGGAATACACTATAGTTTGTTCGTATAGACCTCCCTGTTTCAATAATCCCACAAACTATTTGGATGCTCTAAATGCTATATTATGTAAGATTGATTGTACAAATATTATTCTCACAGGCGATATTAATTTGGATATTTTACCTGACAGCCTATCTCGTTACTCATCCGAATACATAAGTATGCTCTTATCTCATGGTTTATTGCAATATGTTAATTTACCCACGAGGAAAAACGCGTGCTTAGATCACTTTATGGTAAAAAGCATGAAGGCAATTAAAACGATTGTTTTTGATGAATTAACCGATCATTGTCCTATACTTCTATATATTGAACAAGCGAAGTTCGAAAAACGAAGCTTAAATAACAAAAAAGTATTATTAGATTTTGATAACATAAACAAAGACTTAACGCAGTTAAATTGGGTAGAGTTATATAACGAATTTAACGTGAATTTAGCGACAAATATTTTAAGTAATACACTAAGGAAAGTTATTAATGCTAACAGTAAAGTTGTCAATATTTCAAAAAGAAACAAGCCACTAAAACCATGGATTACTCCAGGGGTAATAAGATCAATTAGGAAGAGAGATAGGCTTCACAAACGACTTAAAAAATTACCCGAAAATGATGAAATAAGAGAAGTATATAAAAAATATAGGAATGTATGTACAAACATTATCAAGTCGTTAAAAAGGCAGTATTATCAAAATGAACTACAAAAAAACTTGGGGAATTCAAAAAACACTTGGAAGTTAATAAAAGACGTATGTTTTTTAAATCAACCTAGAAATACATCCGTTGAATTGAGTAAAATTGCTGAAACACCAAAAGTATCTCTCAACATAGTCAATAATTTCTTTATATCAATTGGAAATCATCTGGCCAATACTATCCTAAAAAGGTTAAATAAAACTGACCTTCAACTTGCCAGGGAAGCTAATCAAACTGGTCCAGCTCAATCTATGTCACTTTTTTTAACAGATCCGGAAGAAGTTAGACTCATAATTAGTAGCCTTAAATCCAACTGTGCTTCGGGATGGGACGATATTTCTGTAGGTTTTTTAAAAAAATTTAACTCCTTGTTAGCGCCTCACATAGCCCATATATGTAACTTAAGTTTTCTATCTGGTGTTTTTCCGGATCAATTTAAACAAGCAATAATTTGTCCAATACATAAATCAGGAGACAAGTCATTAGCATCAAATTATAGGCCAATAGCGCTATTATCATCACTTTCTAAGATACTAGAGAAGCTTGTAAATAGACGACTAACTAAGTACCTAGAAAATAACAAACTTCTTGCTGATAATCAATATGGCTTTAGAGCAAATCGTTCAACCGAAGAGGCTGTTTTTAATTTGACCACTAAAATAACACAATATTTAGATGAAGGTAAGAAGTGTTTAGGAGTTTTCCTAGATTTGCAAAAAGCATTTGACACAGTATCTATTCCTGTCCTTATAACCCGTCTTCAGAATTTTGGGATTCGAGGAACAGTATTGGACTGGTTTAAAGATTATCTTTCCAACAGAAACCAAAAAGTACGTATTGATGACTGCCTCAGTGACACTGCTATCTGCTCCTATGGAATTCCGCAAGGCAGTACACTGGGACCAACCCTCTTTTTGGCTTATATTAACGACTTGTGTCACTTAAATATACGTGCCGCAGACCTTTTCATGTTTGCAGACGATACAGTCTTACTCTTTCATGGTCCGAGTTGGGAATCTGTTAAAAAATCCACTGAGGAAGGACTTTGTAAGGTTACTAGTTGGTTGGAAGATAACCTACTTACATTAAACACCACAAAAACAAAATTTCTATGTTTTTCAAAAACCGCTGCTAGCAATCCACGAAACGAATTAAAAATAATAATTCACACGTATCCTTGTAATAGAAACTATAACAACCATACAACATGTGAGTGCCCCATTCTAAGTAAAGCTGACAAAATTAGATATCTCGGTATAATAGTTGATGATAAGCTTAATTGGGCTCCACATATTTCTTTTATTTCTAATAAAATCAGAAAGTTTATTTATGTTTTTAAGAATTTAAAAACAGTTGCAAACAGAAAACTATTGCTACAAACGTACAAAGCGCTATGCCAGAGTGTTATCAGCTATTGCATATGTTCCTGGGGATGTGCTGCTAAAACACATCTTATAGAATTAGAGCGAGCCCAAAGGGCTGTACTAAAAGTAATACTTTCCTTCCTTACAGATATTCGACAGAAATGGTATATAAGTTAACTGAAGTACCGTTAAATGGGGATATTTGGTACATTTTTGAGCCGAAAACGTTTGTTTGTTAACGTAATATAAATAATTGCGTAATATTCTAAACACTTATGGAAAAACCCTAGTCAGATAGGTCTGATAGTGGCTGTCTCAATAGTATAAGGCCGACTGTTACCGAGATATATATATTTTTAAGGTCTTGTTCCAAATATACCCCTCATGGGGTTTTTTGGAAATGAAAATCCCGTGAGTGTTGTTACGATGTATTTCTCAAATAATACCATTTTATACGCATTGGATGATATTTGGAACAGTAGATAAGGCTTAAGGCGAAGTATTCCACTTATTTTTTGCTAAATGATATCACTATAGGTATAATTTTACGAAATTTAGCATTTAAAAGTTTACTTTTACGAAATATGGAACAAGGATTGTCAATTATTGAATAAACCAATCGCATATGTATAGTTTTCGAAAACAAAACCCAGTTAAATTAACATTGTGTGTATTTTAGGTAACAAATCAAATTATCACAATATAAACTTACAAAATTTAGCGATCGCGAAGTATGAACTCCCAAATCAAATCCTGAAATCTTATACTTAAGTGTTAAAGAAAACGTCTACTATAATAAATCTCTCTAGAGTTGGGCTATTTCATAGGCACACAACTTATTTGACAATACTAAAATTATTTAAAGGATTATATCCTTCTCTTGTCCATAATAAGAAAAAGAAAGATTGTTTAAAACAACTTTAGTCCTGTCAAATAACTTTTGTGCCTGTGAATTGGTCCCAAAGTCCCAATGTCAAACTGTCATGATTTTAAATATTTGTGTTGAGTTAATTCTTACAATGTATGAAAACTTTAGGCTTACCAATTACTACAAGTACAAAATAATATTTAAAAATTATATGGAACCACTGACATAATTATGACAGCGTCAGTTAGTGAATTTTATCCATTGATTTCAACCAATGGCCTACCTACAATCCTTTAAGACGATCAGCATGCACTTACGTAAATAATTCCACGACATCATCGTCAGCCAAGGACAGAAAGAACTCCTTCGAATAATTTGGGTTTTGTATCAAATTGACTTTCTTGACAATACATATAGAGGGAACTATGTCCCTGTCAAGCTTTCGTGTCAAAAGGAACCGTAACGACGGTTTTTTAGTTGTTTTATAAAATCTAATAGTATAAGGTTCTTCATTTTCCATGTTTATGTTTTCTATGATACCTATATAATATTTCCATTTCTTTTTGTTGATGTATCTTACAATTACGTGGTCATTCAATTCATATTCTTTTTCTTGTTCTGTGTTTCTACTTTCTGAATCATTGTTGTTAAAATTGGTCTTGATATCTTCTTCTGATAGTTTTGTCTCTTGGTTCGATATAGTCTTGTCAGTGCTTTCTGTTGGTAATTTCTCTTTCGTAGTAACTTTTGCTTCTTTCTTATCATAAAATTCACTCGTGTCTCGGTTTTCTTGAGTCTCATTGGTCGTTGTTGTCTCTTTCTCTCTGTTGTTACAATATTGAACAATCCCTTGATTTGCTGGAATGCTGATTGAGCTTGTTTTATTTGTTTTCATGTCTGGTTCTATTATGTCAGAAGGTGTAGTTATTTTAAAGTTTTCTATATTTTCAGTTGTTCTAAACTCCTTCTTTGTAATTCCTGGTTCTATGTTGTCAGAAGTTTGGATTATTTGTTCTATAGTTTCGAGTGTGCTTAACTCCTTGTGTGTTTTTGATTCTATGTTGTCAGAAGATTGGACTATCTCTTGATTTTCTGTCAATGTGACTGGACCCGAGGAACAACGATTCATATTTCTTAAATCCATATCTCTATCAATGTCAAAGTTTTCGTCAATACAATCAGAATCTTCATATATACTTATGGTTTGTGACTCTGAAGTAGTAGAGCATGTTGAAATTTTTCTGCAATTTCTTTTTTTCTTTTTATCTTTATTATTTTGTTTCACTGCATTATCATGGTTATTTTCTTCAAAACATTTCTTTTTCCCGTTTTCTTTGCGTTTCATGTTCTTATCTTGATTTTCTTTTCCAATTTTGCTACTTTTTACAATACCTTTACCTTTCTTGGTGTTCTTATGTATATTAGATTCTTTTTCATACATTTTATTTTTCTGCGTACTTTTTGTTTGGATTATTGACTTGGACGGACCTGGCTCTAGAATATTAAATGTTGAAATATCTATTATTTCAGACGAGTCAGATGAAGAAACTTCTACTTCACTATTTACAAACTCATTATCTGTCATTTTATTTGGTTTTTTAGGTTTCGTTTGCTCAATGTCTCGTGCTGTGATGCCTCGGCCTGCTGGAACATTACATCGTTTTTTACGTCTTCTGGGCTCATCTGAAGCCGAGAGCCCCCGCATTTCTTTTAGATGTTCTATGACAACTGAAGTAGCAGCTGTTTCAATTTCCTCGGGTAGTAAGTCATGACTGTGTGGCAGTCGTGACTTCGGTCGTTCCGGGTTGATTGGATAAAGCCCACATTTGTTAAAACCTGCAATGACGTTTTTTCCCCCTGTGTTGGTTTCCATAAGTTTGTTCATAAGTTTGGCCAGCAGTTTCGGAAAAACATCTTTTACTAGGGTTTTATGTTTGCGTCCTTCTACTTTTTTCCACCCAGTCAATTTAGTTCGCCAATAATGTTTTAAAGGTCCATACAGAGCAACGTCTAACGGCTGCAGAAGGTGTGTTAATTTGGGGGGCAAGCACACAAATGAAATGTTTAGCTTTTCACACTTTTTTAATACGTTTTCAGAAAAGTGTGAAGAGAGATTGTCACCTATGACAATTTTACGTCCAGGCTTTTTTTTAGCGTATGGAACGATCACTTTTTCAAACCAATTCTCGAAACAAACCGAGTCGAACCATCCGCTTTTAGAGCGATTGTATATTGCGTCTGGAGGACCTCCTTCTAACCAGGTATCCCATAGGTGTTCTGCTTTGTACACCACGTAAACCGGTAATAACTGACCTTCGGCTGTAGCAGCAAACATTAGGGAAACAGCCGTTTTCGATGTATTTGTTACCCGTTCTGGGTATTTTACACCACGTTTATAAATGTATTTTTTGTTTCCTGGGTCGTCAGTTAAATTAGTCTCATCATAGTTTATGATTCGGTCAGGTGTTACACCATCGATTGTTGGTGCAAAATACTCAAAAAATGAGTCTATCGTCGATGCTGATACCTTTGCTCTATCGGTAGATATATTGGAAGCCATACGGTTCGAAAGCAAATCTTCATGACGCCTTAAAAAGTTTCGAGCCCATTCTGAACCAGGCAAATTTTCGGGTAGTCTGTATATTGTTTTTCCGAGTTTATTTAAGTACCTTTGCGCGAAAATACGAAGATCAATAAGATCGAATGGGAATCCCCAGTCTGCCAAATTTACAATGTGTTTAATGAAGGCTTTCTCTTCTTCAGGTGAAAAAAGGGTAGGACGTCCTGCTTTTTCTTGTGAGCAATTAAGGTTTCTACATTTTCTCGATAACGTTGTTTTAGGTATTTGATATTTAGATGATGCTTCTCCTAGTGTTAAAGTCTTACTTTTTACGTCTCGAATTGCTTTCTGTAAATTTTCAGAGCTGTAATTAGTGTAAGGTAGGAAGGACTTTCCATTCCTAGTATTCCTGAATTTTCTAATATATATTCGTGGCATTTTGATGCATATTCCTGCAACAAAATCAAAAGTCTTTAAAATTATATCCGAAATACAAAGGATTCGAACATCTTACCCTTAAGAAACATCACATTACTTGTGAGTATAATTGGTATTATCGTTCCAAATAACACCAGTAATGCAAACATGGGATCACATTACTTGTGGGTATATTTGGTATAGTTGGTCCAAATAACACCATCATTGCGTATAAGGGGATATTTGGTACTACGGTACCAAATATCCTAAATTGCTGTTCCAAATATCCTCATGAGAATATTCGATCAAAATGGCGGACAGGTAACACATGCGATGATGATTAGGAGGGTTTTGGAATGCCGAGATATCGCTCTTTTCTTTGTAGAAAATAGTTTTTTACTTACTTTGAAATCTTCAAAGCACCGTCCGAAAGTTCAACAATGAAGTTTTTGCTGTTTTTTCACGGTTTTATTAAAATAATCCTTGTGGACACAGTTCTTATGGCAGCGTGGCGTAACTTTTCAGAATAAACTTGACATGAGTTATAGTGTTGCCAGATTGAATATCTCTTTTCTACCATTGCCAAATCAAAAAATATTTGGATCGCAATCTTAAAAATAAAAAATACCAAATATACCCACGATTTCCAAATATCCCCAATTTACGGTACTAAGTGTTCGAAAATTATTCATATATCAATGTCTTAGACGTTTTCATAGATGTAGTGTTCCGCAATTACAAAATTTAAAAAGAACTGTTCGTATAAGTATCCCCAAGGTAAAATCCATATTCGGCAAAAGGAATTATTGTTACCTAGCTCCCAAGTTATATAATATATTAAATAAAACAGTGTGTACAAGAAAGGCTTCAAATCATTCATTCAAAAGTATGTTGTATAATTGGCTTAAAGAATATGACTACGATCAATGCGAAAACTTAATAGCTCCATACGAATAACTTTATGTGCAGTGCAACAATCAAACTACTCACTCACTAACACACACACACACACACACACACACACACACACACACACACACACACACACACACACACACACACACACACACACACACACACACACACGCGCGTATATATTAAACTGAGTATTAAGTAATATATCAACATTTCCTAATGTATTATCGACACAAAGTGTTACTGAATAGGAAGGAACTGACTCCTGAAATACAGGGTATCCTAGTTTAGGAGTCAGGGCTCAATGATGTTGTATGAAATAGAAGTGTCAAATAAAGATATTTATTATTATTATTATTATTATAATAGACAAAAAAATATTCTGTACTTTAAATTATTAATAACTATTTAAATAATTAATTAATAGTGTGAGCAATTGCAGATTTGAATTGAGCATTTAGTGAGAAATTTTGAGCGCATATTTATTAATCTGAGTGGTTTAGGAGAAAACCATTTTGTAATTTAAATTATAAATAACTAATCAAATAATAAATTAATAGTGTGAACAATTGCGGATTTCAATTAAGCATTTTGTGAGCAAATATGACCACTTATTCATTTTTAAATTGGTTTATTGGTTTTAAGTATAATAGACGAAAACAATTTTGTACTTTTAATTATTAACTACTAATTAAATAATACAGTAATAACGTGAGCAATTGCAGATTTGATTTGAGCATTTAGTGAGCAATTATGAGCGCATATTTATTAATCTGATCGGTGTAGGAAAAAACAATTTTGTATTTTAAATTATTAATAAATAATTAAATAATTTATTAATAGTGTGAGCATTTGCGGGATTAAATTAAGCATTTCGTAAGCAATTATGGGCAGTTATTCATTTAAAAAATAGTTTATTGATTTAAAGTATAACAGACAAAAAATTCTGTATATTAAATTACTAATAACTATTTAAATAATTAATAAATAGTGTGAGCAATTGCAGATTTGAATTGAGCATTTAGTGAGCAATTATGAGCGCAAATTCATTAATCTGAGTGGTTTAGGAAAAAACAATTTTGTATTTTAAATTTTTAATAAGTAATTAAATAATTAATTAATAGTGTGAACAATTGCGGATTTCAATTAAGCATATAGTGAGCAATTATGAGCACTTATTCATTTTAAAATTGGTTTATTGGTTTTAAGTGTAATAGACAAAAACCATTCTGTATTTTAAATTATTAATAACTAATTACATAATAAATTAATAATGTAAGCAACTGCAGATTTGAATTGAGCATTTAGTGAGCAATTATGAGCGCATATTCATTAATCTGATCGGTGTAAGAAAAAACAATTATGTATTTTAAATTATTAATAAGTAATTAAATAATTAATTAATAGTGTGAACAATTGCGGATTTCAATTAAGCATATTGTGAGCAATTATGAGCACTTATTCATTTTAAAATTGGTTTATTGGTTTTAAATATAATAGACAAAAACCATTCTGTATTTTAAATTATTAATAACTAATTAAATAATTAATTAATAGTGTGAGCAATTGCAGATTTGAATTGAGCATTTAGTGAGCAATTATGAGCACTTATTCATTAATCTGAATGGTTTAGGAAAAAACAATTTTGTATTTTAAATTTTTAATAAGTAATTAAATAATTATTTAATAGTGTGAACCATTGCGGATTTCAATTAAGCCTTTTGTGAGCAATTATGAGCACTTATTTATTTTAAAATTGGTTTATTGATTTTAAGTATAATAGACAAAATTTATTCTGTATTTTAAATTATTAATAACTAATTAAATAATTAATTAATAGTGGAGCAATTGCAGATTTGAATTGAGCATTTAGTGAGTAATTATGAGCACTTATTCATTAATCTGAATGGTTTAGGAAAAAACAATTTTGTATTTTAAATTTTTAATAAGTAATTAAATAATTATTTAATAGTGTGAACAATTGCGGATTTCAATTAAGCATTTTGTGGGCAATTATGAGCACTTATTCATTTTAAAATTGGTTTATTGGTTTTAAGTATAATAGACAAAAACAATTCTGTATTTTAAATTATTAATAACTAATTAAATAATTAATTAATAGTGTGAGCAATTGCAGATTTGAATTGAGCATTTAGTGAGCAATTATTGGCAGTTATTCATTTAAAAAAATGTTTATTGATTTTAAGTATAATAGACAAAAAAAATTCTGTATTTTAAATTATTAATAACTATTTAAATAATTAATTAATAGTGTGAGCAATTGTAGATTTGAATTGAGCATTTAGTGAGCAATTATTAGCGCATATTCATTAATCTGATCGGTGTAGGTAAAAACAATTTTGTATTTTAAATTATTAAATAATTTATTAATAGTGTGAGCATTTGCGGATTTAAATTAAGCATTTTGTGAGCAATTATGGGCAGTTATTCATTTAAAAAAAAGTTTATTGGTTTTATGTATAATAGACAAAAAATATTCTGTATTTTAAATTATTAATAACTATTTAAATAATAAATTAATAATGTGAGCAATTGCAGATTTGAATTGAGCATTTAGTGAGCAATTATGTGCACCTATTCATTAATTTGACCAGTCATACTTCCAAGCCAACTTCTTTGTGCTCAACTTCCATGGTAAAAATTATATGTACTACAGGGGTCAAATTTTAATGACGGTTATCTCATCTTTCTGCTTTTCGTAATATGTCTATTAACGACATTGTCAAATCAAATAGGTTCAAATGTCAAATCAAACAATTATATTTGTATATATTTTATTTATTAAGATTGCTTTTAATTTTGCTATAGGAGCCGTTGTTCATTTACATAATTGTTTAAAAAATAAATAAGCATTATAAAACTTTCCAATTAAATGGTGTAAGAAGCGGAAAAAATGATAACAAGAAAAGGCTATTTGTAGCAATATTTCCCTTAGATGATGAAAGGTATGTGGTGATTTCAACTTTAATAGTAATATGATATTTAACGCGAGTACATTTTTGGATTAGCCATCTACGTAGGACAGGTTTTTATAGTGTACGATTGTGTGCACAAATACAAACACACTATTTCCTAAATCTGATAGTTCGATGGTATGGCAATCCTGGGCAATCCGAAACGAACTATACTTAGAAACTACACAGTCAATTGTGACTGCTAACATTCTATTTGTTCAATAAAAATGTGATTTTATTTATATTATTTTTTCAGATGCAAGCATTGGGTGAAATAGCTGGTCATGCACCAATTGAAAAGATTCACATGTTAAAACATATTTGAGGCAAACATTGCAAAACATGTTAAAACAACTATTACGAACTGTTATTTCAACAGTTGACTTAATTTAAACTTCCACAATTATGTGTATGTTAATTAGGTTTCATTTATATGTAGCAAAAATAATATCCCTCTAAAGTGACATTTTGGTAAGAATTCGATTATATAAATAAACTCAAAGTTATTTGTAATCACCTGGTTATAAATATTTTTTTATAGATTCATCTATAAACATTAGCTATAATGAGCACTCATTTTGAAAAAGACAATTAGTAAACGATCTCTGCGAATAGTATGTACCTCTGTGTAGAAGTCTAGTGATTTGTTCATAGTATTTGTTACACATAAAAGCAATTTAATCTAATCAGTGTTAAAAATATAATAATTTTACCCTTACAAAAAAAAGTTGAAAACAAACATCCAGACGCAGATTATTTATTTTACAGCATAGCTAAAATTGTTCAGTGCGGGAACGAAGCCTCGGTCCTGCAGTGCTGCAGCCAAACGCTTAGCCACTGCGCTACGGAGTCGTCGTTTATTTTTTACTGAATTAATTACTAGTATAATATTGCATTTTTTATTTTATATTTTCTTTATACATATTTTTGTACCTAATTGTAAAGATATTATTACAAATTGCTGTGTGTAAAATACATTGATTTCTTATCCTCATCGGCATTTTTACTCAATCCCCACGTTAAAAAAATATGTCTAATAAATAATTCAGTATAGAGAACTAACCTTTATTATGTAAAAATATCGATAAAGAATTTATCGATAAAGGTTATATCGATAAAATTATTCGAGGA